GCTGGGCAGCGGGTATGCAGCTGTTAACTTGATCAATGACTTACCTAAATGTCATCTCTACTGATTCGCTTATAAATTACCAGCAAGTGAGACTAATGTACAGGTGCTAATTTATTTAAACTGTTCTCTACAGTTCTACATTGCTTTATAAACTGCATCTGGCACCTAATGTTAGCTGTCAGTTGTACTTAGACATGCCTGTCCTAACGACTCTGTTCATTAGAAATGAGCACAAATTATGAAATATTGTGAAAAATGATACATCAAATGGAATGGGCAAAGCGAATCAATTAGAGAAACTTCATACTGCATATTCACACATAGGAGAATAAAACATCCTGATTTCAGAGCACGGTCTATAATACCAATTAAAAAGCAATTGGTAGACTTCTGCAGAGTTATATATCAATTTGCTGGGTTCTCCCCCACCCCAAGACATACCCTCGTAATTTACAGCTTAACTTTTTTTATTTCTTCAAAAATAAAACCACTAGTAAAAACCTGCACTGTGCGAGAACCCATTGGAAAAAAGTACTGACAGACCGTTAACGTATTTCCCCATATGACTTGTTTTAAAACATACACATCCAAAATGCCAGGAAGAAAAAGAACCCGAGGATGTCTACTTTTGAAAAGCGCTGCATGCAGTGATTAACAGCAGACGACAGGAGATGCATAAGCACTCATCAGAAGGAATTATTACCATTCCAAGTGTAAAGCCTGATAATTCTGCTGCCACTGCTAAGCGGCTTTTATATTTTTATAACAGAAATTTAATTATGCATAACAGACACTGTTATACAGCCTAAGTATTTACAACACCTGATGTTATGTGAGCAAATTGAACAAGCATTATAAGCACTGTGCTTTGCTAAGTAAAATGTTGTTCTTTGTTGTCTTCATCTTTTTACACATATAAGATGAAAACGTTGAACTGGTCTTATACTTGACATCTGTAATAAGGAGAAAATGAGATTGTTCAGGTTATAACCCATTTTCTTGATGAGTGGGAGGTAACATACTAGGAAGAAGGTTGCAATAAGAAAGGCCTGGCCTGCTGCTAGCCTACACATTTAGATAGCTAATCTACTGGCTTTTTGCAACCACTTTGATTGGGGTTCTGGTATGGCCCTCCATCTATTTTCTCCTAGTTCACAATATTAAAACACACTGAGGTTATGTTCCAGCAGACTGAGCCTTCTCAGCCTTCCACAGATTAAGGTGTTTTATTTTTTTTGTTACGTAACAGTATCAGGAGTTCAGCTGAGATGCCGCAGACAGGAACCTGACCACTTATTTTAAGGGTCTAGCTAAATGGTGGCTCAAATGGTTATGATGCTGAACTGCAGGCTGGAAAGTTGGTAGTTCAGCAGTTTGAGACCCGAGTGCCGCATGTTGGAGTGAGCTCCCGACTCTGGTTCCAGCTCCTGCCAACCTAGCAGTTCGAAAGCAAGAAATTGCAAGTAGATAAATAGGTACTGCTTCGGTGGGAAGGTAACAGCGTTCCGTGCTGTTTAGTCATGCAGGCCACATGACCACGGAAATGTTTTTGGACAGCGCTGGCTCTTCGGCTTGGAAACGGAGATGAGCACCACATCCCTAGAGTCGGATTTGACTGGCTTTTGAGCAAGGGAAACCTTTACCTAAATGGTAATAACCACTAACCATAGTATGTGCTAAAACACTGAACAGATATAAAGTGTTACTGAACAGATATAAAATGGGAGTACAGAAGCAGTTGCTTGCAGAAAAGCGGTAGACTGAAGTAGGTGATGAATCAGTCCCATGTCCATGCTTTGCCTTAGCTGGGTTGTGGTTTGATACCAAAAAGTAAGATCTTCCAAGAGGAAGGCAAATAGGGAGGGCTGATTTTGGGGAGAAGTGCAGGCAAATCTAAAATGCCCTTCTTCTGTTCCCCACTTCCCGACTTTAAATAACCTTCCATCCGGCTAAGACCTGTTTGGCACAAACCACAGTCTAACACAATGCAATGCCACAATAATATCTAATTGTGCAACAAAGGAAATGTGCTTGTGTGAAATTCAAAGTGACACTGATTCACTTTCGGCATGTCCAAGTGGCCTGCCAAGCGTACAGTAGAATTCCCAAAAAACTTTTAAGAGACAAGACTGCAAAAGGCAGTCAGAAAAGTATACACTCACAAGAAAACAAAAAGGAGAACAGAAGCACAGCACCTAATAGGATGGGTGCTTTGACACTAATGACAGTGAATTACAAATAAGCCTATTCAGATATAAGCCTTTTATTCTGAATTCTTCAACAGTTCAGTGTATACAAATAAACTAGGGGAAATGAACATTAACAGGGTTTGTACTGCTTTGATTTTCCCTATGTGTTAACATTCAAATCGGTTGTGAGCAATCACTGGGTCACCATCCGAGAGTTCCCTGTTATGTCCACATGCCGCTTGGTGTCTGTTCTTCCTCTGCACTCATTTACCCCTCACCCTCCTTTGTCACCAGTGAGAATCCTGCATGCTGAAAGTCAAAGATTCTCCTTTCCACCTATGAGTTATCTTCCACCTTCACCCTCCCTCTTCAGAGTGTGCAAACCCAATTCAGTACTGGATTACTAGATGCAGACCATGCCTTACTTCCATATAAGCCGCCCTGAGCCCGCTTGCAGGGAGGGCGGGGTAAAAAAATGTCTAAATAAAATAAATAAATAAATAAATAATCTTCTACATAGGAAAAGAGAGGAATTAGGGTAGAGCAAAGCCTAAACTCAACAGCCCTTACTACTGATGAAACATGCACAAAATTAGCCTTAACATAAGTTAGTGGGCTCAAACGTGAGTAACCTGTCCACACAGTTACAGCTTAAATAATGGACGGCTTATTGTAAGGGGTCTGAACACCAACACTGTCATTCCAGTGTGTGTCTTTACACGAAAACCATCTGAGAACAATGCACCTTCGTATGAACATGGCCTCATGCCAAGGCGCACAGTACAAAGGTCAGAACTACAGACTAATAAATAAGTTGCTGAGTGATGCCCCACATCTCTTCCATAGTCCCATGGTCATTAGAGCTTTCAGCTGTACCTCAAAGAACCAAATACAAGTTCTGTCAGAGGAAGTAGAATAACAAGGGAGCAATAAGGCAGGAGGCACATTGAAAAACACGAAACAAACAAAATGAGACCATTAACGTTCCCTTGTTAGATCAGAACACTAGCCTAACTTTCTGTTTCCAGCAGTGCCAGCTAGACACCTATGTGAACTCAAGGTATAACAGAAACACACATTACCTGCTTCTCTTAGCAGCCGGTATTTAGAGTGCTGAATCTGTACCTTGTATTGTTCTCCCCCTAATGAGTTCAGAGTGGGATCAAACATGCTTATAACAACTCTGTGAGGTAGGTCTGGTTGAGTGGGCGACTAGACAAGGCTATCAGTAACTTTCACGGCTCAAGCAGGGATTCAAACTCAATAGCAGTACTCTGTGAGAGCCAGCCTGATGTAGTGGTAAAGAGTGGCAGACTCTAATCTGGAGAACCAGGTTCGATTCTCCACATCTCCACATGAAGCCAAATGGGTGACCTTGGGTCAGTCACAGTTCTCTCAGCCCCCCCCCCAATAAATCCAGCTCGCCACAAAAAGAGCTAGAGCCTCAGGCTGTCAGACAATCTTCGGATCTCCTGGCTATACTACACACACTGCCATACGATAATTATTAATTATTACCAGTACTCTTCTCCCTCTATCACATGGGCTGCTTGTCTCAAACACTGACATATTGTGCTTTATCATACTGGGCACTAAAAAGGACAATAACGGAAAAAATAGATGAGAGGCCTGGAGAGAAATGTTACTTTCAAAAATGTTCATATAAGAAAAGAAGAAGAAGAAGAAGAGAAGAAGAGATTGGATTTATATCCCGCCCTTCACTTGGAGTCTCAGAGCGGCTTACAAACTCCTTTCCCTTCCCCTCCCCACAACAGACACCCTGTGAGGTGGGTGGGGCTGAGAGAACTCTGACACAAACTGCTCTTTTTCAAGGACAGCTGTGCCAGAGCTTGTGACTGACCCAAGGTCACATCAGCAGGTGCAAGTGGAGGAGTGGGGAATCAAACCTGGTTCTCCCAGATTAGAGTCCGCACACTTAACCACTACACCAAACTGGTTGAAGAACAACCTGTCTTTGTAGGTTAAACAGACTGTTACTCAGAGACAGCCTTTCTGGCAGTTGTTCCCTAAATATCAAACCTCCTTTACAAATGACAGTAGCCTGACACCATCTTTAGGTGCGCTGGGAAGTCTATCTTCTTTCCCCAAGACTTTGGAAGTATTTTTGTTTCAACTTCAGGGTTTGTTTTAATTGTTCCTTTATTATTTTTTCTGAGTTTTCAAAGACCAGCTTAGATTTCATTTCATTAATTAATACTGATTGCTCTGAATTATTATTTTGGCTTCTGTTTTACTTTGTAATTGCTTTTATGGTGGTTATTGGATTGATTTCTCTTAAACCCCTTGAATCCTATATAATAATAAGCGCACTGGAATTAAGTCCAGAGGGACTTACTCCCAAGTACAAATGCATGGAATTGCAGGCCGTGATGAAAAAGGTCACTGGCGATGCTAGTCGCTCTAGTATCATACACGAACCCCAGTATACTCCGTATACTCAGCAGGTCAAATTACGGGTAAATGCTTCCAAATGCTATATAAACTTTGATAGTGGTTCTTACGACCTCAGATCAAGGGGATTATCCATTAGTAGTTTTAAAAAGAACCTGCTGTGCTTTAGCAAGGTATAGTATAAAGCACTACACTGTGATGTCTGACCTCGCACAGTAGTAGGGGCAGAATCTCTATTCAGAGCCACAGTTGCAATGTTTTCTATGTATAGTAGTAGTCTCTCGTATTCTGACAGTTCGATTAAAATTCAGAGAGCTGAGGGGCTCATGCTGAAGCAAAGAGCTTTCAATTCTGAAACCCCGCAGTAAATTACTTCTCCAACTGAGCAACCATACTTACATCAATATCCTCTTGGGTAAAAGTTTCTGGATCTTCTCCCATCATGTTGGCTAAATGTCTCTTTCCTATGTTGAACTCTTCAATCTGTTTTTTAATAAAAGCTTCTGTGTACTTCTCGGGTCCCGAAGCTGCTATATTTTTCCTCTGCGCTGCTGCAGAACTAGTGCAGATTAGCCTTGGTGCCTGGGGGGGGGGGGGGGGGAGGAAGAGAAAGGACTATTTAAACAAACTGCATTATCAAAACGGGAACATGAACATGACTAAAGGCACAGGAACAAAGATGAGAGTACCATTGAGGAACCCCTCCATCAGTGCAGATATCCCAACAACTTAAGAAAGCTTTTGGAGCACCGTGTCCCACATGGTGGGTGTACACCAGAAAAATTCAAATCTCTACTCACAGAGTTCACTGGGTAGCCTTATGGTAATTCTCTCTAAGCCAAACTTACCTCACAGGGCTGAGAGAGATATCTAACTGTACAATAAGTTTTAGTTTTTTTCGTACAATACCTTCCTCAGAACTTTTCATATTTAATGACTGCATATTAAACACTATTGAACCTCTAAGATTTGAGCTTATAAGAGCCTAGTAGAACTTTCTTGCCTCCCTCCTGAAGCACAGTTTGAGAAGCAAGCAATGATACACACAAGTGCAAAAAGAATAAGTTATTGTTCAATAAATCTGGGAAAGTAATTCAACAAGTCTCTCAAGCATTGGATATCAAATGGGATTTGCATACTGCCTGGAGACCCCAGTCGAGTGGCCAGATGGAATAGATGAACAGGACCTTGAAAATGGTCTTAACCAAGATTTGTACTGAAACAAGACTGACTTGGTTGCATGTCCTTAGCTTCTTTACAGGCTATTACTTCCTAACCAATTAGTGTCTAGAGCCAGCATTTCCCAGTAAAGCCAGAAGACAGGTAGCACTGCCAAAGTCAACACAAGCACCTTTAAGCAACAAGCCACAGTTGATGTACACTGCCCATCCACCAGATAATCGGGCAGAACAAACTTCTTGGATAAAAGTAACATTCTTTTTTGCTGTGACCAAAGCCCTCATTTTATTGGTAAGAATCACCCAAAGAGAATGACTTTATATAGAAAGAGTCTTACAATCTGAAGAAGTCTTATTTGCAATATTGTTCTGTTATTTAATTATCATAAAGGACCAATGGCCTTCTGCTTTCAGGCAGAAACATGAAATATGCCACTTCCATCCTTTCTCCCTATTGGTTTAGCTGAATACTGCACTAAAAAAACAGAAACTGGAAAATGTGCAAGAATCTGTTTAGTATTTTTGGCAGTACTGGAGCTGTACAGGATTTCAGCTTCATATACAGACCGCCCCCCCCCCCTTAAATTCTTCCCTTTAGGAACTTCCCCCAACAGTACCCATTTCACTGGTATCACAGAACGGCAAGAAAGCTGAGATGAACTGCTTAAACTATCCCAGAAATGGGAGTGACCATTCCACCTCATTATACAGACCTGGTACCCTCAATCTGCTTCTCTTCCATCTTCATCTTTATGTACTATGTCTATTAGATTGTAAAATATTATGTTGTATTATAAACCACTTTGGCAGAAAAGTAGAATATAAAAGTATTTAGTAAATAAAGAGACTGAGCGGACTGGCATTTTTTTTTAATATCTGGCTTTTCACAAATTTGGGGAACCTTTGGCAAGTATGGAACAGCAGAGGAAGGAAAGTTGATGAACACCATGTAGGGAAGGTATAAAGGCCCCAGACCCTCACTGCATTAGTTATACCCATCTAAATCTTCAGTGCACACAAAATATTTCTAACATTTCTTCATTTAAGTTTTCAAACTTCATAACTGATCTATTTTGACTACACTGGTTTCATCATTACTACATAGTCAGTGTAACATATTTTCACCACTTCTACATATTCATAAGAACCTTTAATAGATAAATAGTATATCATGGTGTAAAAGAAAGTCTATTACATATCTCAGGATATTACATTTGGAACAGATTATAATTTTACTTCTATTTCATTACCATACATTTGTATATGATATTTTCTCACTTTAAGTTTGTCTCCTGCTAGCATAATACAGATAATACATGCTCCATCTTTCCTCAAATTTCGTAACAGACCTGATTCTCAAACAGGTTATTAATTTTGCCATTACTGCATATTCAGCAAGTTTATTTCCCCATTCTTCTAAATGTGGACAGACGTCTAGTTTCCATTTTGCTGTGTAAATAGTTGTAGCCGCTGTCACCATGTATCTGAATAGCTCCTCACATTTTTGGTAATTTGTCAGGCAGAACACCTAATAACATGCTCTTGGATTCCATTTGGAATTTAAACTTTAATATATTCTGCATTTTTAGATGTATTTCTTTCCAATATTTTTGCTTTTTTACAGGTCCACCACATATGAAAGAAGGCTCCACCTATGTCTTGATATTGTCAGCATTTTCCTTTGTAGTTTTTATTTGCTTCCTCAATGTCCTTTGGAGCTATATACCATCTGAAAAACATTTTGTACCAATTTTCTCTTAGTGTCTGTCTGACTGTAAATTTGATATATTTTCCCCATAGTTGTTCCCATTGTTGCATCAATATCTGTTCTATAAGGTTTTGCATCTACTTAAGCATACATTCCTCAATGTCCTTTGGAGCTATATACCATCTGAAAAACATTTTGTACCAATTTTCTCTTAGTGTCTGTCTGACTGTAAATTTGATATATTTTCCCCATAGTTGTTCCCATTGTTGCATCAATATCTGTTCTATAAGGTTTTGCATCTACTTAAGCATACATTTTTTCACTTGTTAGTCTTCCATTTATAGCTGGAGTAAATCTTGTATATCCATCGTAGTGAATGCTTTTTGTTTTATAATCAGCTGCTAAAATTCAGTCGCATCTCTTAGAACTCCATCTTCAATACTCATGATCTCTATTAGTCTTGAAATTAATTGATATTTAATATATCAGCCACTGAATATTTACAGCTCCATCTTTAGTATTATTTATTTATTTTTATTGATTTTATTGATTTTTATCCCACCCATTCCGGCCTAGGCTTGACTTCCCTGTTTATCATCAGGCTGAAAGTTAAAAAAAAAATCATTTTTATTTCTTGTATTCTTACCATAATACACCATATTCTCAGAAGCCCATCTCTGATTATGTGTCTTCTTTCTTGTGTTATGACCTTTGTAGTTGATTTCTTAATCCATAAGTAATTGTGTAGGCCTTCTATGTTTTCAAACTTTTTGTGGATAAAACCCAAGATTTCAGAGAGGCCAAATTTCAAGCTAACCTAGAAACAATTGTCACTGAGCTTAATGGGATTTATTTCTAAGTAAGCTTGCTTAAGGACCCAACCTTCGCACCATATTCTGCATACATACAAGGAACATCAATCTGTTCCAGTCTCAGCAAATGTTTCAACAGCTTCTTAAAACTTCAGATAATGAGGAACTAAACCTTCCAATAGCTGCTGGTTCAGTTGCCCAACACATTGACTAAGACAAGCCCCATTTGAAATTCCTAGTTTGGAGGCTGACATTTCTGGCTGAACAATGCATTCCCTCCCTCTTAAAACCCTAGTACAATTGCCATCAATGCCTAGTAGTGAACACAATCCCCGCTTGAAACAATGGTCCAAGAGACAGTTATCTTCTGGCTTTTGTGGAAGACTATAAGATATGGCTAGACAGATTTGTTTTTCTTTTAACCAAGATAATCAGTGGGGAAGACAACTGTAATTTCAATCAAGCACTCTGCCAAAGGAACAGAAGAATCACTGGCAAAGCAGTAATGGCTCAAGCTTGGCAAGAAGCCATCTTTATGCACTACTTTATTTGTTCCTGTGTTCATATTAACAAAGCTTCTCAGCAGTCTAATTATTCCATAAACAGATTACTGGAGTTGTCTCCCTGGAAAGAAACACGTCTCTCTCTCTCACACACACACACAAAATCATCACCCAGCAGAAGTTCGAGGGTACAAACTTGCAAGCCTACTCAGCTGGCTACAAAAAGCAGCCATTTAAAAAGGGACATCCAGCTAGCTGCCAATCTTTTAAGCTGTGACTTGAAGTACATCTCTATTTCAATTCTGCTGAAATGAAATGAAATGGATTGTATTTATATGTAAGTAGTTAGGATCAGGGCCAGAACAACTTGACTCCTCTTTATTCTCATAGGAACTTGGATGCAATGTTTACCAGTAAATGTGTTGAATTCAGACACACTACTGGGGGACGACGACACTTCCTTCTAATAACACTAATAACAAAAACAGGTCCCTGGATCAATTCTGTAATTCCTTAACCCTGCTATTAAAGCTCGCAATACTAGCCTAACTCCAACGGGAAACTCTTAACTCTCCTCTGCCTATTCCAACTGCAACCGGCATCTCCCATGTACAGCCCTTCCAGATTCCTTGTAGCAGATCCCACACTGGCATATGAATTGCCTTTTCAGGGGACCGTCCAGGCATCATGCAGCAGATCCTACCAGTTTTTGCACCAAAAACAGTGTCCTAATGAACACACAGAGCCAAAAACCACAGAGGATGGGACATGCAGTAAAAAGTGGAATCAGGCAACAGCGGGCAGATCCAACCACCCATCCATATTTTTGTCAAATGCCTGACTCTTACTAAGCATCACGTCAGGCAAAACCACAGTGATAGATTCCATTCAAAATAATCAAGACTAGGCAAATTGACAAGATTGTGATACACAGATCTCTCTGAACAGCGGCTATTTTGAAGAGACAAACATATTGTCAGCTTTTGACCCCCTGAAAGACATGTTAGTGCATCAGAATTTTTAACACACTCTGCAAAATATCCTCTCAAACACACACACTTGGAGAATACTCACCCACAATCTGTTTTAAAGAACTCTTCTTAAAAGAGTCAGATAAGTTTGTTATGCACTTCCCTGAGGGTCAAGAAATTCCAGCAGTACCAGGAGGAAAGGCCTAAGTTGCTTTATTTACAAACAAAGGACCCAACCTTCTCACCAGTTGCTTTATTTACAAACAAACAGAGCACAAACAGAGGCAAAGGGGTAATGGCTCTTAACTGTACTGCACCCAGAGTGTTCCAGCCAACTCACAGCTATGTGTCTGCTTTCTTCTTCAAAATCAAGCCTGCCATTTCTCCACACACCCTTTTTCTTCAGCTGG